TGCCGAGGCATTCATTATGTGATATGTTGAAACAGAAGAGAAATCAGGCAAAGGAAAAGAGCAGAGAATTAGGAGGAAGATCAGAGAAAAATGGAGTCAGAAGGGGCAGAAATGGTAAGCTCTAAATGAGACCAATGTTGAGAGATCTAATCCACACATTAGGCTGTGGCTAATTTTTTCCAAGGTGAGGGGTGATTGCTAATTCAGAACAGGTCAGAAGCACAGCAGTGGTGTTCAGTAGCGATGGATGGTGAGAGCATCAGATTTAAGTCAGATGGTCCAAGATGATCTATACTGCAAATAATGTATGGAAAAGCAGAAAGCCTCTTCACTTTCCCTGGGACTTGTGTTTCCAAGAGGCAACACTTCCTCTACTCCACACTACATACACAAAATGTTTGTATGCTTCAGGATTAGTTCACAAAAGTATTGACCCTACAGGTCATCATGACAATGGTACTGATAGCTAACGTGTATGAAAACTTATTATGTGCCTGACCTAGTGCAATATTTTACATATTAATATCTGCAACAAAATGAGACAGGTACTATTAACATTCTCATGAAACTCAAAGAAATCAAGTGATTTTCCCAAGATCACAGGGCATACATAAGCAGTAGAGCTGGAGTTTTGACCCCAGAACCAGTCTTCTACTAACTATAATGCTTTCAAAACTGCTTTCAATATTAAAAATAAAGGGATTTTGCTAACTGGGTCATTTGTACTCCTCAAAACATTTTTATGAAGAATAGCTCATTTAATTTCACAATTTTTATGCTGGGAAGGTAAGCAAGACATTTTTTCTTCTATTCATTTTGCAACTGAGAATACTGAAGCTCAGATTGTATCAGTGTTTTGTTATGAGACTACACATCCAAAAAGTGGCAGAGCACATCAGAAACTCGGGTTGTCTTAATTATAAAACACTGGGTATAAAACTGTGACAGGAGTATATCTTTGCTTTCACATATGTAAGTTGAACAGTTTTCTGTATCACGAAAGTAAACAGTAGATTGATAAGCCACCCCTGAACAGTTTTTTACTCGTATTAAATACCAAGTCGCTTTACACATTTAACAAATAGTAACTCCTAACTAGTGCACCAGACACAATTTATACATATAAACTTTCACAGCGGAAAAGTACCTTAGAAGTTATTTGTTTTGAATTTCTCATTTTATAACTGAGGGAAAAAATACCCAAGTGGTGAACTTATTCAATGTTGCCTTATTCATGACTGCTACACCCTGATCCAGAAAGCCTCTGTTCACATTCCACATTTCCCCCCTGTAGAGAATAAAAATTCCTGAAAAAAAATTATTACATGAAAACCTTCTTTATTTTCTCCTGGAGGTCAAGGAAGATTTTATATTGTTAAGAATGTTCTCAGATTGAAGTTGCAAAAAGAACACATGTATGTATGAATGTAGGATATTAATATAGATGTCAATATCAATGTTAAATTGGGTTAAAGATGTCTCAAAGATAACTTGCGTAATGCATTGCAATAGGTGTGCCTCAAGATTTCCAGGAAAGTATGGAAGAAATTAGGTTGGCAATTTTTATTGATTCTTCTGAGGAATTGTTATGGCCAGCAGATGCCACTGTTGTCAGTGTAACTATTCTTTCAAGTTTCAAATATGGAGAATTACTAGAAAAAGGGGTAAGTGAAATGTAGCAAAAGTAATTATGTTATCTTTTAAAGATTAAGTAGTGCAAGTACTGTATAATTGAATCCTATTATTTACCTTTTAGCAAATAGTAAACACTTAGCAAATAAAGACATTCTAAAATTATAAGAAAAAAATTAACGGGAAAGAATGAGTTCTCTATGTTTGAAAATAGTACTCTTTTTTAAAAATTAGAAGTTCATGCAATGGCCAATGTTGATTGATAGCTACATTTAGTAGCCAAGATGTATTTTATCCTGATGAGTGACATTGAGGGAGAATAAAATAAATTAATTCTATTCCTTTTTGTTGTTATAGCATCATAAAACAGCTTTATATTTTCAAATCTGTACACAGTTGTGAACAAGCTGTTTTTGCAAAATTTATTATATTACTATCTTCTATTTCCATCAATGTTTGTACATGATGTTAGGGGGTTTTGTTTGTTTGTTTGTTTTAAGAGACGGTCTGATTCTGTTGCCCAGGCTGCAGTGCAGTGGCATTATCAGAACTGACTGCAACCTTGACCTCCTGGGCTCGAGCAATCCTCCCACCTCAGTTTTCAGAGTAGGTGGAATTACAGATGCACACCACCATGCCCAGCTAATATATAAAGGATAATTTATAGTATCTTATTTATTTTAAAAGACATGTTTAGAACAAGAATTTATATAAAATTGTATTTGAGGTTTATAACACTGAAGGTAGATTATGATAAGTTAAAGATCTGTATTGGAATTCCTAGAGCAAACACCAAAAATAGAGAGAGAATTACCTGTTTTACAATTTTTTAAATTGCAGTACTGACTTTATTGATTACAATCTCTCAATATCAATACTACAATTAGAAAAATCAATAAATATATAGAAAAGATTTAAACACTATGATAAACTAACTTGACATAATTACTGATTGGACAGGAAAATGAGATATTTTTGTTTTAATATAGAAGAGAGGCAAACATGGTTTTTGAATGAAGAAAAGGAACCAGTGGTGAGAGAAAGGAAAGGGAGACAGAATACTCAATGGAAAGAAGTCCTAGAGAATTCAGAGTAGGGGAAATCAAAGGTAGAGGTTGAGTGATTATCCTCACACATGAGCAGGGTAATTGTTTCTCCAACAAGGCATGAAAAAAAAGAGAAAATAGATGCAGGGAGCATGCCATCTTAAATGTTAAACAAGTAAATCGTTATAAGTTGTATATTAATATTTGCAACTAATTTACGGTACAATACAAAAGCATGCTTTTTGGCAAGAGATTCTCAAATGTTTTAAATTATATCCACATAAAGCTGCTTGGCTTTTATTCAGAAATATGACTTTTTTTTTTCTTTCTCTTTTTTGGGGCAGAGGAGGTGGAGAGGAGATGTATAAGTGGCAGGAAGTTGAAAGAATTTACTTTCAATGGTTTTCTTTCTTGTAAAATAGAAAATAATGCTACCTTCTGAGAATTTGGGGTTAGAAAGGAGACAAAATATTTGAGCAAAACAGCAACACTTTGACATAGACACTGTGAGGACAAAGAAAATGAACTTAAAATAACAGTCCCAAACTGTAAACTTATATTTTTCTTGTTCCCACTCTGATGATAACTTTTAAAAAGTCCTTTAACTTAAAAAAAAAAATCCTAAACCAAAACTGACAAAGATAATAAACAAGAGATTCTCAGAAAAAGAAACCAAATGTAAAAACATATGAGAGATCCCCATCTACTCTGGTATTCAGATAAATATAAATTCAGACAATGAAATACCATGCTATGTCCCATCATATTAGAAAACAAAACAAAAAAAAACCCAGAAATTCAGGTGTCAATGAGAATGTGGATCAACTAAAATTTTTATTCTCTTCCAGTGGTAATTTAATTTACTTAACCACTTTGGAAGTACTTGGGCAAATTCTAGGGAGGTTGAAGATGATGTATCACAAGGACCTGCTTCTTGTCTTAGGAGAGATTGTTAAGTCCCCACCCATTTCCATAGATCTGGCCATCCTGCCCTGCAGGAGCACATTTCTCTGCCCTACTGCGTAGGACTTGGTCCTGTGATCTGGTTTGGTCACTTGAATCAGAGTAGACACCAATAGTCCTTGTATATACAAGCTTTCAGAGGCATTGCAAGCTGTTGCCAGCTTTCCTGCCAGGTTTCCTCTGCCATGAGAAGGGCAGAGATAGGAGCTGTGCTTCATCCTAACTGCACAAATTTGATTAAAAATTTCTTAGAATTGGCCGGGCACGGTGGCTAACGCCTGTAATCCCAGCACTTTGGGAAGCTGAGGCAGGTGGACTGCCTGAGATCAGGAGTTCAAAATCAATCTGGCCAACATAGTGAAACCACGTCTCTACTGAAAATACAAAAAATTAGCTGGGCATGGTGGCAGGAGCCTGTAATCCCCTCTACTAAGGAGGCTGAGGCAGAAGAATCGCTTGAACTCAGGAGGCAGAGGTTGCAGTGAGCCGAGATTGTGCCATTGTACTCTAGCCTGGGCGACAAGAGCAAAACTCTGTCTCAAAAAAGAAAAAAAAATTAGAATTTCTAAACTGTTTAGAGTTATAGACATTTGCAGTGAAAGTTCTTTTTTTAACATGTAAAGACAATAAAGACAAGGTGCTACTGAATCATAAAAATATGTTTATTTAAATGTTTATAAATTGTAAGATTCTAAATATGCATGAAAAGATTCCTGGAAAATGTCACACATTTTGTATTAATGTTTGTAACTGGCTTAAGGCACATAATACAAAATACTTCTTTTGATACAGACATCTTCAAATGTTTATTTAACCACATTGGAACAAAATTGCATTAGAGCTTTATATGGCACAATACATCTGTAATAAATGTTTGGTTGGGAGAAAAACACTTTGTGGGTAAAACAAGTACACTAGTATTCACTGGCAAAAATCTATTAGTAGATTCCACTGTGTGTGTGTTTTTTTTTTTTTTTTTTTTGGTTTTCAGAGTAGGTCTCCATAGAAAAATATTATTTGTCTACATGTCTTTCAAAAGCATATTATTATATAATACATGGTTAAATTATCTGCATGAAAAAAACTCTTAATACCTGAGAATTTGCCATTTAATAGTTAATTTTTATACTCCTTTATGTTCTGACTTTGAGAAACCTCTGATATAAAATAACTTAAACATCTCTAATAAAACTTTTACATATGTAAATATATTTTTATGTTTACCAAAATAAGATCTTCAAAATTAAAAGAATTCTCACATATTTAATTAATAGAATACAGTACATAACTTTGAGAAAATAAATTTTTAAAGAATATATATACACACACAAGAATTATAAAGGCAAAACAGAATATAAAATTATAAAAACAATGTATTGTTCTTGTAAGTACAATCAAATTTGAGGTAGATCTTAAAAATTAAATTATATCATATCTTTATTATACCCACAAAATTTTTTATTTACTATTTACCCCAAACATACATTTTTAATACACAATTTGTACCTCATTTTGAGGACTATTTTTTTAATTGAAGCACCGTAATCCACAAGTAAAAATTAAAGGAAAAATAAAACAAGGTATCTAAACTGTATGAGTAGAAAGTATAATGGCTCTGTGCTTTTTTATGTAACTATTGATTTGCTACTTGTCAGAAAGATTAAATAATGTTTATAGTAATTTTGAATGTTTATTATCCTAATATTTACTTGCTTCATTTTAGCTAGTAGAATAAACATTTCATTGTACAGTACAAAGCTGAGCAGAGATTTACACATGTGTTTATAGGTATAAGATAAGTGTGATCCAGTCCAAGATGTTAAGAGCAGCACTGTCTTGGTATAATTCATTCGATCCTGGTATTCTCTATTATAAATTATTATGTTCTTTAAAAAAATCCTGATTAATAGAACCTTATTAAGCAGTTATTTGAATCCCTGATGAGCACCCTGAAAAAAACGCAGAGACATATTAGATCTGGAAATCTCGGGAAGGGAGAAATAAAGAAATGAGCACCCGTTATTTGAATGTTCCAGAGAATATCTCCTCTTTAGGGCATACATCCCCCTTCTAAATGTTCATATAACTTGAATTGGGAGACCGGTAGTCATGTGAGGAAGACACTTTCCACAGTACCCTCCACACTTGCCGAAAAATCTGGTTCCATCCTGAAAATTGGAAGAAGAAATATAGAAGAATCTTAAACAAGCTGATATCTGCATGCAAATAGCAGAAAAAGCAAATGCTTTGAATCATATGGCTAAAATCATTAGAGGTTTCCTATAAGAATTGCATTTGAGGTCAAAGATCATACCCTTTTGATATTGTTTGAACTGGTGGACATGGGAAAGTTAAAGGATATTAGATAACCTGAGATTCATTTTAGCTAATTGAATATTATATACCATACTATAATTTAGACAATTTAAATCTCAATTAAGATTTAAATCCAATCCACATATTTCAATCTCAATCCACATATTTTTCATCTAGGTCTCTATTTGCTTCAGTGAGTTTATTAAAACCTCTCCCAATTTGCTATCCAATATTTACATAAATTTACATAATGTTCTCTTAGACCAAATAAAAGAAGGATATTGTATAAACTTGACTTTAAAGGTATATAATTCATATTCTATCCCATTTATTTCAAACATCTCGTGGAGGCATTAGAAACACACTCTGGAGAAAAGTATAGAAGGTGGTAAAATGGAGAAAAAAAATTAAAACTGGGCTGAAAGTAGTCATTAGAATTAGAAAAGAACTAAAATGGGAGATTGTTCCACAAGCAGAGCAGTTCACTGAAGAACAGGTGACAGAGGTGGGCTGAAGCGGGTTGGTCAGGACGTGATAGATGCACTCTCGAGATGCCTTACATCTTTAGGTCTAAAAGTGAAGACTGAAGACATTTCTAGAACACGACACAAAAACAGGTTGAACTCCTATCATATCTGGAAAAGGTAATTTTTTTAAATCTAAGGGAGTAAAGATAGAGAAGAAAACTGTAGGTTCTGGGGACATTTTGAGATGGAAGAATGTTTTGAGAATGGAAGCTTTTGAAGTTAGCTTTTCTTTCTAAAGCAATTTTAGCTCTGGAGAACCTGAGTACACAGAGAAGGGAAAGGCAGTAAAATCTCAGAGTTGAATAATTCCCTATTCCCTCTGTTGTAGTAAGAACTCAATCTTCATTAAACTTATTGGCAAAGGAAAATATGTTTGCATTTCTGTAAGTATATCTGGATTTTACCAATCAGTTTCACACTGGGCATCAGATCTCAAGAAATAGTTATGTGCAACCTTTTTGATTGAGATAGAAGTTCTCAATGAAATAAATAATGAATTAATATTTAGAATAGAAGTTAATAAAAACACAACTCTTTTGTTAAGTAAAGCCCAATTTTATCATCTTCAGAAACAGAATGTTTTAAAGGCTATGACTATCAGAATACTAAGTTTCATTTATGAGAAATATTTATATAAATAGAGTATAACAAAAATCACTTTTATCATAAGAAATAAAAATCATAAAACATTAGAGTATACAGAGGTTGAGACTGGTGCTAATTTATGTGTAATATAAGTGGGAACACATATAACCTAGATCCAGATTTACTATGGGCAGGGCTATGTTATCTAAGACACAATAACCGTAAGTAATAGAAAGCGTTTCTTGAAGTGTACATGTTGGAACACCATACCTGCAGAAAATTAAGTGGATTCTATTTGGATAATACGACATGTGCTATAGTTATAATAATTATATAAATAAACTATACAAATAGTTATAACTATATATATAAATACTACATGACAGTCTATATTTTTACAAATAAAATAACAACGTTATCTAGATAAAGACAGGAAAACATGAGTACAACATAAATACATAATCCTAATTCTTGAAAAAACTGTGAAGAATATTTGTTAAATGACAAGGGTCTCCAACACCACCCCCATCACTAAAACAGTGAGGGAAGAAAACAAAAATTAACACTCATTTTGAAATATTAAAACCTGTAAACCTTCAGTAATTAAAGTATAGTAAAAAAACATACCTTTTTTGAAGACCTGTATTTCAAGTCATTAGCTCCAAACTTGAGATAGACAAAACCTATATGTCCTGGCATTTGGCAATTTATGTTCAGACATCTATAGCCCATATATGGATTCATAAGTATACAAAACCTACACATGCACATTAATACAAATGAATCCTGTTTCATTTCATAAATTGATGTTGTGCTCCATTATATATAATCTACCCATTATATGCAATAACTCTTTAGTCATCAATTTCATACAAGTTTACATTTAAGGTAGAGAGCCTTTAATGCTAGTTCACAGCACAGAAGTATTTCAAACAGGCTTTTTGGTCCTGCAGGACTTACCTCTGATCTCTGTATGCTGACAGAGGTATAACTCCCCTGAGCAAGCCACTTTGCTGTGTTGGATATCTTCATCCCAGTTCCTGCTAAATTAATGCTAAACTGTCCCTGGATTGTAAATAAAACAAACAAAAATAGATGGAACTTATAAATACTTAAGAATGCTCTTGGCTAACAACATCTGAACAGGAATTATATAAGGATGGACTCAAAATACTCTTCAAGGGTCTTTTATAAAATGAAGGAATATCGATATAACCTTACTGTAAAGAAAATGAACCAGTTAAGGACTTTGAAAATTGATTACAAATAAGTCTTCTGAATTGCAAGTGACAACTGAATTAATACTATATAATGCTATTTGTGGAGAAGTAACTCTGCCCAACTCCAGGACTCTATGATTTGACAACTAGAGCTAATAATGGTCCTGTAGAAATTAGTAAATCCTGACAGAAATAGCGTTCATGGGGACCAATATTTGCTGCACTTTAACATTTCTACACTTTCTATTTTTGACCCTTCATTGCTAACTTCTATGATGTTTCACCTGTTTGACGTGTTTTCCAGAATCTCTGTTATTGCCCCATTCCTTTTGTGATAAGAATATTACTTCTTAACTCACCACACAAAACTATCTAACATAATATTATTGTCCTGGCAATTATATCCATTTTAAACACCAAAAACGGTGTTTAGATGTGTGATGCCACATGGTTTACACACATTATGGTGTGTGGGTCCCCTATGAGCTTTATGATCTAATTCTTTCCAAGTACAGGACCATTTTTATGTCAAAATATTTCAGACTATCTTTGTTAACTATTAAATTGCAATGTTAACTGAGAAAATGTGTGCTTAAAATAGGTAACACTTGTGTCACATGTATATAATTTTACAGTACAGATTTAAACATTGAAAAGTAGAACTTAAAAACAAGTTCAGTCTACTGACAATGGTCAGTATGCATATAGATTCAGAACAATATTAAGACAGTCTTCAATTACATCACAATATCTCAATGGCTTAAGACTCATGAATCTTTAGCAAGACTGTGACGAAACACTGGATTTTATATTATATGAATGAAAATATTATCTTGTCATAAAAGCAAAGTCTAAATAAACTCTCTCTATATAATGTGAATTATTAATATTGCTAAAACAATTAGATATCAATTTAGTCATTAACTTGGATTTCTTAGCAATCTTATATTGTATATTTCTCATTTAAAAACAAATAAAGATCAAATATTTGTATAAAACAATGACAATAAATGGAGAATTTTCCATTGCAGAAATAATTAGTTTTAGATAAATTTCAAAGACAATTTATCATATACAACATCACTTGGTTATGAAATTTAGAATATGAACTCTATGTCAGCTTCATTGCTATATTCCCAGAGCACAGAACAGGGCCTAAGTTCTCAATAAGTGTTTTCAAATGGATGAATTAAGTGCAGCATTAAAAACATTAAATAGTAGTATTATAAAAGTAAATACACAAATACATATATAAAACTCTTCAGACTCTATGATAATGAATGACACTAAAACTAGACAAAGTAGTATTTTATGTTCACAAATATTTGAATAAAAAGAATTGATTCTTAGGATATATTATTCCATTTGACACTTAATCAACCTGATACAGGTTTTGCACTGTATACCTCCAATCTCACATTCCTTCTCAGATAGGCTTTTCACCAAATAAAGTTATTAAAAAATGAAAATATATTCTATCATGTAAATTTCTTGTAACCAGATGCTCCTTGAGTGCCCGGATTGGACCATGCAAACTAATACCGTTTTTCCATTCTTCCATCTGTTCTCTACCTCCTTGATCAATATGCCTTAAAAATATTCAAATGTATATACGCTAGAAGTAAAAGGAATGAATCTGATGGACTACCAACAGCCTTAGGTGGTCATTAACACAATTAGTTGAGTCTAGAACTATTGATTGTTCCATTTCTCTGACTAATTTTCATGAGCTTTATTTCTGTTCTTAGTCCTCACTTTAAAAACTACATAATACGATCTCAAAAAAAATGGTAAAACAATTATCTGAAATTTGGTATGATGTTGACGGAGCTGAAAATACATCTCACTCATTTGTTCAAAATTAACTGACTGGCAGAGATGGTGTCAAGTACCATAAGAGTTCAGACAGATCTCACTCTAAATCTGTCAAGTGAAATAGCATATGTACCTAAAAAAAGTAATTCAATGAGAGAACTATAATAAATAAGTGAATAAATGTGTTAATTCCAATACTTCATTTAAGATTAAAATTTAAACCTCAAACCTAATCTTTAACCTAAAAATTGTTCAACATATGAGGTCTCTCTATCTCTCTGTCTCTCTCTCTCTCACTGTCTCTCACTCCATACATGCATATGTAGTGTGAAATGTCAAGAGAGTAGATACGTAGTATGAAACTTATCTCCTCTTCTACCCTCCTGACATTTTGAAGAAGCAGCCACTACACAAATTAAAATTTCAGCAGCCAAATCACAAATGGAAGGTAATATGATTCAGAAGACCTAGGAATTCAATAAATTGGAATGTTTATTCTTGAGTAACTGGCTGTGTCAAAGAAAAAGGTAGGTATGGGTATAAGATAGAGGAGAAGCATATAGATAGATGCAAGTTTTAACGTTTCACTTCTTGGATTGACAGGTTGGTTCATGTGTGCTCATTAAATAATTATGTTTTAAAGTTTTTAAATGTACTGTACACATTTTATTATGTATGTACTCTATAGATCTAATATAATACCAATACAAATTTTCTACCCAGAATCTTTATAGATACAGAGAGTTGATTCTAAAATTTATAAAGAAAGGCTATGGATATAAATAGTTGAGATAAGCTTACAAAAGAAGAATGGAGCTGGAGGACCCATACTACTTTAACACTTACCATAAAGCTATCCTAATCAAGACATATGGTGTTGGTGAAGACAGACACATGTAGATCAAAGGAAAAAAAGACCCACATAAATATGGCCAGTACTTTTGACAAAGGTAGAAATGCAAATAAGTGGAGAAAACATTGTCTTTTCAACATGTGGTGTTAGAACAATTGGGTATCTATATGTTTTTGACTCAGATGAAAAATTAAGTCTATAAATCCCTCAGACTTAATACAAAATTTAATTCAAAATAAATTGTAGGTCTAGGTGTAAAGCATAAAACTATAAAAAGTTTTTGAAGAAAACTTCCAAAAGGAGAAAAATCTTAGTAATTTGAGTTTATTTAATGATTTCTCAGAAACGAGTCTAAATGTACAGTCTATAAAAGAAAAATTTGACTTTATTAAACTCAAAAACTGCTTGGTGAGAGATACTTAAAAGAAAGAAAAGACAAGGTTTGGACTAGAATGCCGTATCCAACAACAGACTTGTATCCAGAACATATAAAGAGCTCTCGAAACTCAACAGTAAGGAAACCAACATCCCAGGTTTTAAAATGAGTAAGACTTGAAAATGCATATCACCAGCTGGGTGCGGTGACTCACACCTGTAATCCCTGCACTTTGGGAGGCCAAGATGGGTGTATCACCTGAGGTCAGGAGTTCAAGACCAGCCTGGCCAACAGGGTGAAACCCTGTCTCCACTAAAAATACAAAAATTAGCCGGGCGTGGTGGCAGTTGCTTGTAATCCTAGCCACTCAGGAGACTGAGGCAGGAGAATTTCTTGAACCTGGGAGGCAGAGGTTGCAGTGAGTTCAGACTGTGCTGCTGCACACCAGCCTGCGTGACAGAGCATGACTCTGTCTCAAAAAAAATATAAATAAATAAATAAATACTTAAAAATGAGCATAAAAAGACAAAGGACATAAAAAGAGAGCAGGGGTAGTAATGTTGATAAAAGACAAAGGAGAATTTGAGTCCCCAATCATGAAACTATGACAAGGAAGTGCTGAAAGTAATAATCCACAAAGAAGACATAACACATAACAAATACTATGTATCAAATCATACAGCAACAACTTTTATGAAGCAAAATCTATGAGATATGCATGGAGACACAGATAAGGGAGGGGACCACCCCTCATATTGTCTTGTGCCCAATTTCTGCCTCCAAAGAAAGAAGAAGTAAAATCTAAAAGGCAGAAATGAAATCCACAGGCAGACAGCCCGGCGCCACACCCTGGGCCTGGTAGTTAAAGATTGACTCCTGCCCTAATCGGTTATGTTATCTATAGATTACAGACATTGTAGAGAAAAGCACTGTGAAAATCCCTAACCTGTCTTGTTCCAATCTAATTACCATTGCATGCAACCCCCTGTCACGTACCCCCTGCTTGCTCAATCAATCACGACCCTCTCACGTGGACCCCCTTAGAGTTGCGAGCCCTTAAACCAGACAGCAATGGCTCACTTGAGGAGCTCGGCTCTTGAGACAGGAGTCTTGCCTATGCTCCCGGTCGAATAAACCTCTTCCTTCTTTAATCCGGTGTCTGAGGAGTTTTGTCTGCGGCTTGTCCTGCTACACAGACACACCCTAATAATAGGAAAAATCAATATACCACTTCCAGTAACAAGAGAGAGCAAGTGAACAAAAGGACATGATTTAAACAATGTAATCGAAAGGGTAGATCTTATGGATATATATTAAACTCTACACCTTGATAATAATGAATACATATTCCAAATATCTCACAACTGACTTTTAACATTCAAACTGGATGCTGGCCATAACCCACTGACATTAGCCAAATATGATTATTTCTCTTACTTTTATGTAATTACCAACCAGTTAAAGAGATCCACATTACTTTTGTTTTTAAAAGTTTTTGTGGCTTTGCAAAAAGTACAAAATATTTACTTTACTTTTGACATATGCATTCTAAAGTCACACCACACTCTTTAATTTCATCTCATATTGCAATGTGGCAAAGTTTATTTTCCCTAAAAAGTGCCATATGTGTCCATACTCATTTTAGCGTTCCTATCCCAGACCATCCTGTCACATGCAAACACAGAGGATGTGGGTTTGATGAATCCCAAACAACAGTATAAGTTCTGTGACATCAAACATCTGGAGAGTATTCATGCAGATGCTGTGTAACATAACACAGAATCTGGTATATATATTGACA